AATGGGTGTTTACTGTTAAAGTTAATCCTGATGGGTCCGTTGCTAGATTGAAAGCTCGTCTTGTGGCTAAGGGCTATGCTCAAACATACGGGGTTGATTATTCTGACACATTTTCTCCTGTCGCTAAACTTACGTCTGTCAGATTATTTATCTCTATGGCAGCCACATATGATTGGCCTCTGCATCAGTTAGACATTAAGAATGCATTCCTTCATGGTGATCTTTGTGAAGAGGTTTATATGGAGCAACCACCTGGTTTTGTTGCTCAGGGGGAGTATGGGAAAGTTTGTCATCTTCGTAAATCCTTGTATGGCTTGAAACAAAGTCCTCGGGCTTGGTTTGGAAAGTTTAGTCAGGCTATCGAATATTTTGGCATGAAGAAGAGTAAGTCCGATCACTCTGTTTTCTATAAGCAGTCTGCAGCTGGTATCATCCTATTAGTAATCTATGTTGATGACATTGTTATTACTGGAAGTGATTTTGGTGGTATTCCATCTCTTAAATCTTTTCTTCAGAGTCAGTTTCATACAAAGTATTTAGGAACACTAAAAATAATATTACACATTCTCCAAATAAAATAATATTATATATAAATCTAAAACTGTTCATTAATTTTCAACCACAAATTCTTCCATCAATCACTATTCCAAAATTTATAATACACCCAAAATGGGTGCCAAACACAAGCTTAGTTTCCTTTTCTCTTTATCCCGTCCGATGCAATGTAACAAACATCTCATCGGAATCAAAGCTCCTCCGAGCAATTAATTCAGAACTGAACCAGAAGCACGCAATTTGCTCCTGTGCAACTTAGCAATCACACTATTTTCTAAGACAAGAAGAAACTGTAAAAGAATGAAACTATTATACTGCTATTTTCCTTGGTTAAACATTAAAGTTGCACAGTGAGCTACTGAAAGCATATTAGGGATCGCGTAAATTAAAGGAATGGGCTACTCTTTAGAAGAGGGGGAGAAAAAGAAGCAGAAAACAAGGGATGGAAAATAAATGTGTACCTGAATTAGTCGCTGAGCTGATTGAACTTGTGAAGAGGTACCTTTTATTTCCACGGTGATTTCATCCTGTAGGCCTCTGCTCTCTTGTACGGTAAGGATGGCACCACTAGTACGTCGAATGTAATCAATATTTGCTCCTTGAACCCCAATGATATCCTCTGCATAAGCGAGTGGTATTTGCATCGTCTGAGCAATCTACACACAATAATCAATATCATATGTTAATTCCACTGACCTAGCATCCATCAAGTGGTCAACGAACTGAACGAAAATAAGTCGAAAAGAAAAATGCGGTACTCATGCAACCTATTGGGGTTGCTTCTTGCTGAGGTGGAATATGGAATATTAGAAGGTCAAAAATTATTTTGGTCCCTGCTAACTTAAGCACTGAACAAACTACAACCATTTGATAAGGTGAAGCCTCATATTCAACACCACAACATTAAGCCCATGTTTGAGAAAAACTCATTTTTTTCTCAAACTCATTTTCAACTATACATTCTCTCAATAAAATAATTTACACATAAATCCAAAACTTTTTCTTATTTTTTAACCCTACATTCTTCAAAACAATCACTATTACAAAACCCTTTTTTCTTGTAAAAAATGGGGATCAATCAAGGGCTTGGATTGTTTGTGCTAGTATTACACCAGACCTACGAAAGTGGTTTGCAAAAGTCCTATTTAACAAACTTTAAGAGTACTCCAACAATTAATGGTTTCTTGCGTACTGTGCGAAAATAAATTACCCAATTGACTCTCCTTTGCCTTCACTTTTATAGCCTTTCTTATTTATTAAAAAACGACAGTCAAGTAGACAAATCATAAGAACAAAGAAAATGATAGGTAAGGAATAGTCGGCAATTCGCAACGCTTCTGTACGCTAGTAATTAATAATTATGGACAAAGAGCACAGGGCTCCAAAAAATCTAGACGGGACATGTAAAATTGAGCACAAAAGAGTAACTACAAATGTGTTAACCCTCTGTTTGACAACTATTATTTGAAAACTATTTTTTCTACATACTCATTTTTAACCACATTCACACAATAGATATTCTGCACGTAAACTCAAAGCATTTCCCCATTTTTTTAAAAATCACTATTCAAAACATTGTTTTTCCCAAATAATGGTTGTCAAACTGATGTGATCCAAGTAACGAGGGCAAGTTCGGGTAATGATCCATTGATCATTGAGGAAGGGCCTATGACTAAGTTGCTCAAGCCACGGTGGACGAAACATTGATCATGACAAGCAAATGGACCAGTTTCATTTTGGGCATAGGAGATAAAATGAAGTGGAGCAACTTAATTCAAGCAATGGACGAAAAAGCTGGGCGGAACAACTATGCCGTCTAGACGGAACAACTATGAGACCGCATAGTTCTTCTGCATGCCCCTTTACCGAAACTACAAAGGAAGACTTTAGTTGGTCTATACGACCGCATAGATGGACTTACACTATGCTATCTATGTGGCCGCATAGTACATTCCTATACACGAATTTTTCAAATTTCGCGCAATCTTCTATTCTAATTAAAACTCTATTTTGTGATATTTTTTGTTATTTTTAAAGCTTAATTCCGTTTTTAAGTAAGTTTTATGGGTTCCATATAAATTGGACTCATTCCATTCATGGTAAAAAGACAAAATTTGAAAGATATTATTGCGAAGCATATTACTTTCTTCTCGTTCTTCATTGAATTAATTTTGAACTTATCAAGAATTAAATTCTTGTAACGTTCTACAATTTAAGTAAGGTTCATAAGTTTTGTAATCACAGGGTCAAGATATTGTTAGCGATTGTTATTTTTTCATACTCATTTTTAATCATACATTTATACAATAAAATATTTTGCATGTAAAGCAAAATTTTTCCTTACTTTTTAATCTCACATTCTCCAAAAAAATCACTATTCAAAACATTATTTTTCCCAAATAATGGTTGTCAAACTGATGTGATCCAAGTAACGAGGGCAAGTTCGGGTAATGATCCATTGATCATTGAGGAAGGGCCTATGACTAAGTTGCTCAAGCCACGATGGACGAAACATTGATCATGACAAGCAAATAGACCGGTTTCATGTTGGGCATAGGAGATAAAATGAAGTGGAGCAACTTAATTCAAGCAATGGACGAAAAAGCTGGGCGGAACAACTATGCGGTCTAGACGGAACAACTATGAGACCGCATAGTTCTTCCGCATGCCCCTTTACCGAAACTACAAAGGAAGACTTTAGTTGGTCTATGCGACCGCATAAATGGATTTACACTATGCTATCTATGTGGCCGCATAGTACATTCCTATACACGAATTTTTCAAATTTTGCGCAATCTTCTATTCTAATTAAAACTCTATTTTGTGATATCTTTTGTTATTTTTAAAGCTTAATTCCGTTTTTAAGTAAGTTTTATGGGTTCCATATAAATTGGACTCATTCCATTCATGGTAAAAAGACAAAATTTGAAAGACATTATTGAGAAGCATATTACTTTCTTCTCGTTCTTCATTGAATTAATTTTGAACTTATCAAGAATTAAATTCTTGTAACGTTCTACAATTTAAGTAAGGTTCATAAGTTTTGTAATCACGGGGTCAAGATATTGTTAGCGATTGTCTTGGTTCTTTGAGTCAAACTTTATTGGGTCAAACTTTTCAAACGTTGATTCTTGACTTTCTTGAGTTTGTTCTAATTTGTCATGGGTTCCGTAGCTACTATTGCTACGTGAGTTCACATCAGTTTGGCTAAATTACAATAGTTCTTCAAACATTCAAACTAAGTCTGTCCATCAGCTGGAACCCTATCGATTGAGGAGATTTTACTTAAGAAAACTCTAATTGTCAAAAAAGAACAAGAACATAAAGCACACAATCAATGTCTTAACCTAGATTTTTATATGCCATTGTTTGGTCCCCATTATTTCCAAAATATATTTTTCTCAATCATATTTTCAACCACATTTTTCAATAAAATAATATTATACGCAAATCCAAAATTTTTCCATATTTTTTAACCACAAATTCTCCATTAAAATACTATTCCAAAAGACATTTTGGGAAAAAAAAAATGGGACTCAAAGAGGCTCCTAATATTTTCCCTTTTTGGCATCGTCAACCCCATGCTAAAACAAAAAGCAATAATTGAAGAGAGATGACAATGTACATGATGCAGCTAATATAATTTTACACGTGAATTTTAATCTAAATAGAAGAAAGTAAATAAATATGTGAAAATGTTAAAGCCACAAACCTGAGTTACAATTGGTCCACTAGATTTTATTCCTGCTGAAGAACGATTTCCAAGTCCATGATCTGATCCATACAATGAGAATCTAGAAGAAGGGATTTGTGCTTCCATTTGACTTTCATGATCAAGATATAAAGAATCCTGCTTCATTTGAAGAGGATAATAATTCCCAAGTGAGGTCCTAGGAGTAGTGTGCCGCAATGTCTTGTCAGACAAAGAGTCTACTTGCCGTTCTTGAGTGAGTGGTGCATTATACTGCAGAACAGTATACCAACTTGATTAGAGTCCTGTAATCATGTATCACTAAACTAAGAAGGAATCGACTTACACTCTTCTCAAATAGGGGAAGAATAGTATGATCCACCAAGAATTTTCGCAGGTGCCCCACCACAGCTTCCAAAGCTTTGAGAACCTTGAGAGCTTCCCCTTGTAATTCGACAATCCTTTCCTCGGAACTGGCATAAACTGGCATTTCGTCTACAGTATCAAATATAGAGTCATGTATTGAACAAACATAGAGTATCATGTAATGTCATAGTGAACATCATCTCAAGCAACACAATCATGGACAGACCAGATCCGAGATAGACTAAAGAAATCATTTGATATATTTTGTGTTGTCTTGTGCGCACAAAAGTTGTTTTCCTCAAACACACTTAAAAGAGAAGTGTTTTAGCAATGAAGTTAATTAACATTAAGATAGCCCTAAAGTTCAATTGAGACAGCTAATTATGAGCAGAATTCCTGAGAGATCAATCAGTGTCTGTTAGATTGCCTTTTCTATTCATGCTTATGCTTCACAACCTGAGGGCCCAATTGAAGTAACTTCCTGTTTTGAGTAAGATTTGAGGAAACAAAAACCAGATTTCGTCAAAAAACAAAATTCATGAGCACAAGCACAAGCACACACATGACGTTCTTGTGGTTTTTCTGTCAAAATTATTGAAACAAGAAGATTTTTTTTCCCTAAAACAGGCAACGAAAATTTAAAACCACTCCCAGGGAAAAGAAGGTAACATCACATACAACCAACGAAACTCAGTCATTAGGAAGAAGTTAAAATACCATTGGAAAGAATGCGGATAGAGGCACCAGTGCTCTCCTGAATTGACCTAATCAAAGAGCCTTGTTTTCCTATTATACTAATGCCCTGGGAGGATGCCACTAATAATCGAATCGAACAAAATGCAATTCCAGCAGCACCAAGGGCCTCGCCATCACCATTGTTCTCAGGCAGTCCATTGATGTGTTTGAATATTCTAATTACAGCATCTATAGCAGGAGACGAGGGTGCTTCTGGTTCTTCCTTCCCAGAAATCAGAACCTGAAGTATTTCATGTTAAAAATAGTATGTCAAGTGTTAAAATGAAACATAATCCTGAAATAGAAAGAGAGCTTTTTGTCTAAACCAAATCATTTGTGCCAATGGACTAAACTAGTAAACACAAACCCAGGAAAAAATGTTTTCTCCATTGCTTTGTCAATTGATTGAGTGCGCTAAACATGATATCAAGGACAGACACAGATATCGCAGAAGTCAGACAAACAACATCAGAGTCCCATTCCGAGTAGGTCAGCAGATTCTGCCAACGAACAATCTAAATTTCTAATAGAAGCAGAGCTTGCACTGAAGGCACCAAGTAAATGAGTAGCATCTTTTGTTACAACATAAAATTTAACAGCACTCCATATCCTATGATATGATTTCCTCTTACTTTAATATTGTTCACCTGATCTTACTGAACAACTACTCATTTCAGACTAATATAACAGTTCTGACAAACATATCATCCAGAACAAGAATAAGTGGTCACAAACAATAAACTTTGATCGTGACATAGCACATTGAGTCCCTTCAAGAAGGGAAACTTCTTGTGAGATGCATTATAGAAGTTTGATTATGCTGCAAAGGGTTGTTAGTAATAAAACAAAATTTCCAGGCAAAATATTAGGAATACACTGCCTGTGATCAATAACATTAATAATGTAAGAAAATGTTTTTGATGGATAATGACCGAGTAGAGAGTGAGCAGCAGTCTCAATGTTATACATAGAAGCTCACTGTAATGGTTCTAAATTAACAGTTAGTATCCCACTGTGATGCAATTCAAAATACACCATTTACCGTTGAACGTGTGCTACATATTTATTTTTAAACTACTCTATCCCAGGCTGGAAAGAAGTGGAATAAATTACACAAGCCTCCCTTTTGCCTTTGCTTCTTACGGAGTCATCTTAGCATGTTATATCAAAAGCTCTTAATTACTAACCAGAATTCTTCATGTCATCATGAATCCAATTTTTCTTTGACATTTTTTAGTGAATACCGAATATTTTCAGACGGGAACATTGATTGTTCAAACCAATAAGATAGCAGTTTTAATTCCATATGTATCTATGTTAATATATTTAGGCATATCAACCCAATTTGTCATCCACCTAAGGCATTCGACAGAGCTCTAGCTATTTTTGGAAAATCGTTTACGTCCAACACACATCTCGTTAAAATAAGAGCATTTACTGGATAACATTCATTCTTATTATGAGAAAAGACTTATCCAGAAACACGTGCCCAATAATAAGCTGAACTGCCGGATATTACTGTTTGAAAAAGTAGCTCAAAACCGAAATGAACATGTCTGAGGGCATAACTTGGCGGTCTTTCAACACACGCTATCCTCAAGAGGATTAATTTTAGGTTCAAAAACATCAATAATTGTACAATAATTCCTAAAAAAAATAACTCTGAAATACCGCAAGAAAAGAAATATGGATACAAAAAGAAACATAAAGATAACAACTTGAACCCAAGATTAAATTCATGAGATTTAAAACTCGACATCCTATAATCAACCATAACCCTGAACATGAAAGAAAAACGTCAATAAGCATTGGAATTTAATCATGTAAGAAACAATTAATGTACATAAAAAAAATCCTAGAATAAGAAGAACATTCTACAAATACAGACTTATGGAGAAGAGTAAAAACAAAAACCGTGCTATAGAACTATACAGGTAAACATATATAGACATGAACACGCAGAGAAGAGGGGAAGAGAGACTACAATGCGGTCGGGGGAGGTGAGAGGGCCCTCGAGGATTCGAACCCTAGCGTGAGTCTCCTCAACTAACTTCTTGATGAGATCTCCCTTGCGCCCAATAATGCTGCCGACTTTCAGCACCGGCACCACTATCCGGTACACCGTGTAGCCGGGCCACCCAGGCCACTTGGCTTTCATTTCCTTCAATTCATTCTCCTTTTTATCGGCTGGTGTAGTGTCTGCCACATCTGCGACCTCAGGAGAGGCATCTTCTGCCGCAGGGCTTTTGGCTTCCGCTATTTTTGGTTGTTCAGTAATACTGGCGATGGGGACGGCAGGTTCGGTGGCGACGCCATTATCGGTTGTGGTTTGAGCAGGGTCCATTTGTCTGATACTTCCTATTTTCGGTCTGTAAGGGCTGTTTGTGGAGTAAATGTTTCGTTGGCCACTGAAGTTTGATATATGACACAGCTTACCCACTGTATTTCCAATTTTTTTCCAGTGATCCCTCAACGTTACTCCGTCCAATTCCAATGACCACTGGACGAAATTAGGATTGGGCATGGATTGAATTGGATTGGTTTTGAGTCCAACCCAATATGTTCGATTTGACAATAATTCAAATCAAAACCAACTCATTCATGGTTGAAACACAACTCAATCCAAATCGACCAAACTTGGATTGAGTTGGATTGATTGGTTTGGAGTTGAATCTAATTCAAGTTGGACAATTTTTTTATGGGCCCAATGATTTGAGACATTTTTTTTTTTTAATTTGAACAATTTTTAAGTTTGATATCATTTCAGTTTAGACCAATTTCAGTTATATAAAAAATAGTCATTTGAAAGGCCTTAAGTTGATTGAAGTTGGATCAATAGTCCATGGGGTTAAATTTCATTCCAATAGAACAATATAAATTAATAATTGTAAAGCCTATTAAATGGATTATATCATGATCAAATACTTATTAAATCAATCTAAATACATGCTAAATACATGTATATTATACGTATTGAATAAACATAAATACTAAAAATGTTAAATTATCCAAACTCAATACAAAATTTCCTCTTCCGGTCTGAATGTTTAGCCAAAAATCACCTCAAAAAATCGAATTGAGAAGCCGAGACACGAGCAGCAATGAGAGGTAGAAGAGACATGAGGTAGAGGAGAATTTTGATCATTAGGTTTTAGGTTTTTTGTTTAAAGTACTAATTTTC